ACCCTGTGGGGGGGGGGGAGAGGGCAAAAGTTAAATTAAATATTGTTTTGAACACACACAATCTGCCCTCCTTCCAAATGAAGAGGACCAGTGTTCCCTCTAAGATGAGTTAGTGTGAGCTAGTTCACAGTTTTTTAGCCTCTGGCGCACACATTTTTGTCTTCGCTCAGGAAGGAGGGCTCCAGAAGCAAACGAATTTATGCAATAGCCAAATCACTCACTCACAACTTTAATGCCAGCAGCTCACAAAGTAGAATTTTTGCTTACAAGACTCCACAGCTTAGAGGGAACACTGGTGAGGACCTATAAGAAAACTGGTACTATTTAGGAATCCTGACCAGGATAGCCCGATCTCCTCAGATCCTGGAAGCCTCAAGCAGGGCCAGCCCTGTCTGGTATTTGGATGGGAGACCTCCAAGGAATACCAGGGCTGCTATGCAGAGGCAGGCAAACCACCTCTGAACATCTCTTGCCTTGAAAATCTTACAGGATTGCTTAAGTCAGCTGTGACTTGATGGCACTTTCTAGCCCACCACCGCCGTTCAGGAATAAGGCCTTCACAACTTCCAGTTGATGGCGGAACGCTAGCGGACTCACCTCCCAGACCTCCTGAGGGTGAAGCTGCGCTCCAGCCGAAGGAGGGGGTGTGCAGGCTCACTACTCCCCCAGGGACCCGGCTGAAGGGACCCTGGCCATGGAGCTTTTGAGAGGTTGCCTCTTCGACGGCGTAATGCCAGAGAATTGAGGCACCTCTCCGCTCTGACGGTTCTTCGTGCTGAGAGACCGAATGGACTAAGTGACGCTGACCGGGGCAAACGCAGGAGATCAAGCTCCCCACCCCAACCCCATGGAACAGAAGATAAGGCGAGCGGGGGAGAGATGCCTCCCAAATGCATAGACTTTAGAGCGACTGGCGGGGGGGGCGGAAGCATAAACAATTAAAACTGCTAAGGAGTACTTACCTAGGCGAGTGCGGGCATTTAACCCATCCCCCAAGCCTACCCAGGGAAGGGAACACTGGCTGGGGAAGAGGAGACCGATTGGGGAGGCAAGCCTCCCCTTCGCTTCCCAGCCGCCCTGCCGGGAGCCGCACATTATGTGTGAAAGAGCTGCATGTGGCTCCCGAGCCACAATTTGGCCACCCCTGGTGTAGTGGTTAAGAGCACAGACTCTAATCTCGGAAAACTGGGTTTGATTCCCCACTTCTCCACATGCAGCTGCTGGTGAGACCTTGAGTCAGTAACAAGTTCTTGAGCTGTTCTCTCAGGAGCAGTCCTCAAAAGAATTCTCTCAGCCCCACCTACCTCACAGGGAGTCTGTTGTGGGGAAGGGAAGGGAGATGAGATTGTAAGCTGCTCAAAGACTCCTTCGGGTAGTGATGGGCTACCAGTCTCCTCCTCCTCTCAGCCTAGCCTACCTCACAGGGTTGTTTGTTAGGATAAAGTGGAGAAAGGCAGAATGTTGTGCCCCACTTTGGGTCCCCATTGGGGGGGGAAGTGCAAAAGTTAAATTAAACATTGTTTTGAACGCACGCAACCTGCCCTCCTTCCAAATGAAGAGGACCAGTGTTCCCTCTAAACTGAGTTAGTGTGAGCTAGCTCACGGTCTTTTAGCCTCTGGCGCACACATTTTTGTCTTAGCTCAGGAAGGAGGGCTCCAGAGCAAACTAACTTATGCAGTAGCCAAATCACTCACTCACAACTTTAATGCCGGTAGCTCACCAAGTAGAATTTTTGCTCACAAGACTCCACAGCTTAGAGGGAGCATTGGCGAGGACCTATAAGAAAACTGGTACTATTTAGGAATCCTGACCAGGATAGCCCAATCTCCTCCGGTCCTGGAAGCCTCAAGCAGGGTCAGCCCTGTCTGGTATTTGGATGGGAGACCTCCAAGGAACACCAGGGCTGCTACGCAGAGGCAGGCAAACCACCTCTGAACCTCTCTTGCCTTGAAAATCCTACAGGATTGCTGAAGTCAGCTGTGACTTGACGGGACTTTCTAGCCCACCGCTGCCATTCAGGAATAAGGCCTTCACAGCAACAGAGCACTGGGGAGAGTATAAAGCCATGACAATGCTGTGGGGCAAGTCCTTTAAAATCATGACCTGGAATATCTTTTTCCCACCTTTTTTAGTTTGCTATGTCGTCACATCTAGCTTGAGGAAGGGTTCTGGCAAACTCGAGTGCTTGCACACCATTCTGCTTCACTGTGCCCTCTCTCCCAATGAAAGTATTACTTGGACTCTGGTTTCTGAACACAGCACAAGCCAGGACGGCCTCCTGCTTTACACAGAAGAGCCCCCAACACCTCAACTACGTGATGCGAGAGACTCACCAATGAACCCCATACTCCTGCCAAGTACAAAGATGCCGTTGAGGGCACCGATGTCAATGTACTCGTCCGCTTCCTCCCTGGAAGAGAAATCAAAACGTGTTAAGAGTAAATAGAATCCAATATTGCCCAATCGTTAAGCCCCCTTCCTCCCAAAACTAGCTTTTGATTAGGAAACTTCCTGGGACTGACCAAGGGGATGTGACAGGGGAAGTGGCCAACCAAGCCCACCCCCAAGTCCCAACAGTGTATAAAAGAGCATGATTCGCCATGCTCTCCCTCTCTCCTCTACCTCTAGGCCCACCCTATCTCCACGACTCTTGGTTTTAGCGCTGCCTGAGTCTACCATGTGTTCTGCTGGTTCAGAATACGAGCCTTATTCCCCCATAGTCTCCCTTATTTTTCTGTGGATCGCTTCATCCCGCCGAGGACAGGTACGTATCACCCCTCAACGATTCTCCTGCTAATGCAAATGTCGCTATCCCTTTCTATCTACATTTCCTAGGACTGAATAATTGTGTGTATGATTGTGAATTTATTGTATGCTTGAAATATACTTTTCAGTAATGAAACTATTTCTTTAAGACTTGGCTTCTGCCTTTATTTCTGGGTGACTGGAAAACGGCCGGACTCCTATATACATAGGCTATTGCTCCCTTAGTTGCCAACTGCATATTAATAATCATAATTCCCCAAAGTTATTAATTAAGCAGAGCAGTTTGGCTAACAAATGGTCCTTACCTAAGTCAATCAATCAATCCTGCACTGGATTTGTGGCACCCATCCAAGAGGACAACTCCCATCCCACACCAACGGGGTTTTGTTTAAGGTAAGAAAACATGCCCGCTCCTATCTCATGCATATGGAAACTGTCGGCTCACAATGTGCAAAGACGGAAACATAAATATGAGACAAAAAAGATTTCCCTCCTCGACATTTGGGTAAGGGCCAGGGGTGAGGACAAACTCTCCTCCCATCCCATAATCGTAATACAGGCGAGTGTTCTTCTTCGAAGTCAGAATTAGGGGACAGGCAGGCATTCAGCCAATGTACAAACATCTCTCAGGTTCCACGTCCAAACACAACTTTTGACAATAAGCATTGGGAAAATTACAAAAACGGAAGTGATGGAAAATCCCATGTCAACGGGGGTGGGTGGGGGGGATAGCTCAGTGGCTGAGCACTCGTTTTGCAAGCATGGAGTCTCCAGTGCAATCCCTTCCAAGCACACCTTTGCATGCATGAGGGTAGCAATAATTTTATTTTATTTTTTCAAATAAAAGATGAGGTCCTTGGGAAACAGCCCTGTACTCAGTACCTGGAACCTCACTCACGCATGCAAGGAACACGCTCTGCGGCTGAGCTGTTTGTCCTTGTGGAGAACTCTTCTCTCAGGTACAGCCGGGGATGCTTGACTGATTATGTGCCTTGGGTAGGGAGATGTCCTACGACTGAGCTTCAGAGCCACGACACAGACCCAAACGGGTAACTGATCACTCACCGTGTGAAGGAGCCACAGTGCCTGAGTGCATCAACAAAGGCCACTCCGATGAACCCGTCGACATTCAGGATGAGATTAGGTTTCTGGAGCAAAGAAGAGGAGAAGCAAGGTCAATCGGACAGAGTGATGGTGGCTCTATCGGTCCCCCTGGCAATCTGTTTAACACAGGGTACTAAACTTAGTCATGATACCAGGTAAAGGATTGGTACCTTGGATGTAGTAATCTTCTCCACTTCCAGCGCATAGTCCAAAAGGGGTGTTGCAGGAAAATGCTGTTTCACATAATCCTTGAGGATTTGGACTCTCATATCTGGGTTGTTGATCTATAAAATTCAAGGTGTGTGGGGGGGGAGAAGAAACAAATTTCAAACTTTGGAATACTTGTAAAGAAGCTATGGCCGGACAAAGACCCCCCCCCCCCCACTAGCCTCCCTGAAAACTGGTCCTAAGCTGCAACCATCTTAACAGGCCATCTCAGCAAGGAGGCCAGCCACCTACCGATTTCACCCGGTGGCCGATGCCCATGATCAGCCTCCCTTCTTTCTTCATCTTGTTCACAAACTCCATCGGGATGATGCCGCTGTCAAACGCCTTGCTGAACATCTTCGCGGCTGCGTCAAGAGCGCCACCGAACCGATCCCCCTGCGACCGACACACAGAAAGAGGCTTAGATTCCGTTTGTTTTTTTAAGTAGAAATGCGTGCGGGGTGGGGGCGGGAGAGAGTTGGACGGGGAAGCAGGAGCGAGGAGCGGACTGGGAAGAGAATCACGGGGGACTGTGAGGGAGAGAGAGGAAAGGCCAGGTAGGCGACTGGGAAAGGGGAGGGGGAAGAACAAAAGACTGGAGGGAGTGAAGACAGAGGGAAGGTAGGCCAGCATGCAGATCAAAGGGGAGAAGCAGGGATCAGCGTGGGAGGGAATGGGAAGTCCCCTTGCATGTCCCCCCTTTTGCGATTTCCATCCGGATAGGTAAAGGTAAAAGCCAGTTGAATCCGACTGCTCAAAAGCCAGTCGAATCCAACTCTAGGGATGCGGTGCTTGTCTCCGTTTCTGAGCCTAAGAGCCAGCGCTGTCTGAAGATGTTTCCGTGATCATGTGGCCAGCATGACTAAACGCCGAGGCGCATGGAACGCTGTTACCTTCCCACCAAAGCGGTACCTATTTATCTACTTGCAATTTCTTGCTTTCGAATAGCTAGGTTGGCAGCAGCCGAGGCCAGAGACGGGAGCTCACTCTGTCACGCGGCGCTCGGGTCTCAAACTACTGAACTATCTACCTTCCAGTCTGCAGTTCAGCGTCTTAACCACTTGAGCCACCGCAGCCTTCTGGCTACTCTATCTCAACTGTTATTAAGTGCTTACGATGGTCAGCAGGCCAGAGGTGAGGCTGGAGACCAGGTCCTTCCCCGCTCTCGCACAGACGATTGTGTTATGGGCTCCTGATACCGCAGGCCCATGGTCGGCCGTCACCATCAAACACATTTCTATGAACTGGCAGGCATACTTGGGTAACCTGGTGGGACAGAGACATTAAAGCAGGTGTTTACAATGAACCTTTGATGCACCTTGCCTTATTTCCATCTCCTAGGTAACTTAAAAAAACAGAAGACGCTAATGAAATCACAGCCCCACATCCACCATGTCTTAAGCAAATAATTAAACTGTGCACTAGCCCAAAGAGGAAGATGCAAACAAACCAAAGAACCCAAAATTAAGAACTGTTCTACACAATTTCCACTTGGGTAGCTGTCTTAAGTCTGTGGCAGCAGACCCAAAAGTAAGAGCCTATCTTGCAGCAACTTAAAGACAAACAAACGTATTTGTAATGATTTCATGTTTTGGTGTGTGTGTTCCTTTAAATGTTTAGTTTGACTGCCATACTGAAAGAAGAGTGATAGATGGAGATGAGTGTATTTTGATTGGCTGATGACGGAGAGTGTGGGAGGAGGGGTGTCTGAGAGGATTCTGTGTGTGTGTCTATGAAGAGATTCTGTGTGTGAAGTTTGTGTGAAGTTCTGTGTGTGAAGTCTGTGTGACTATGCGATTTTGAGTCTATTTCTTTGTGAATAAGACCAACAGTTTAGTTGGTGTGACTAAGAGAGCTGATTCTATTCTGTGTGAATAAAACAAAGAGACAAGCCTGTGTGGCTAGCTATATATATATATATATATATGTGTGTGTGTGTGTGTGTGTGTGTGTGTGTGTGTGTGTGTGTGTGTGAGAGAGAGAGAGAGAGAGAGAGAGAGAGAGAGTATACTGAGTATATAAGCCTGTCAGAGAGGAGTTTGGAGGTTGAGAGACTGTTTGTAACACCAAGCTTTGCCAGTTATATTTACAAGTTCCTTTCTTCAGCAACTGTTTTCAATGATCAGAAACCTATTTTGTTCTTTATTAAATAAATCAATTTTTGTTTAAACTCATCCCAGAAATCAGAATAGTCCTTCCTCAGGGCCACATAGTCCTCTGAAGTGCCCAGAGCCTAGGTCATACTACCAAAAGAGAGAGAATTGGAATTTTTAATTCCCAGTGGCAGCAGAAAACTACCAAGTTTCCCCTATAAGCAAGGACGTCACAGTATTCTGTTTCTCTGTGTGAAGAAAGTCTTATGCTTTTTCTCTGAACAGTTCCAGCAGGAGGGTCAGAAAGATCTGGCTGGGCTACTGATTGAAAAGGGCTGGGCCCGGCACAACTGTAAAGAACTCCTGCCAGTCTAAACTTGGCACAAAGACCAAACTGATGGTTTACTTGGTTGATTTGAGGGGTTGTGCTGGGATAAATGAGAGGAGGGGCCTCCTCACCCTCTTTGCTAGGCTATAACAGCCCCCCCCCACTCAGTCAGACTTGCATCTAAGTATACACGTTCAGATAGGCTGGGGGAAAATTAAGCAGCTCGACTTGTGAATGGGAAAGATTGCTAGCTTGATGTTGTGCCGCGTGTGGTTTTTGTAGCATCTGGTAGTTAGGAGTATTCGAAGTCAGTATGCAGGTTCTGTTTTTAAGCATAATCACTAGCAGGCAACCGACTCTGCCCTCCTGGTATTGATCCAGACATCTCTTTAAGCTATTTATGGTAACCATCGTCACAGGGAATGATTTGCATGGTCAGAAGAAGAGCTTCCTGTCGCTTGTTTCGGACTGTGTGATTGTGTTAGGAGACGACTGTGTTGCATCTGAAGAACATGCTATGAATGCTGCCTCTAAGCTGTGGAGTCTTGTGAGCAAAAATTCTACTTTGTGAGCTACTAGCATTAAAGTTGTGAGCGAGCAATTTGGCTGCTGCATAAAGTAGTTTGCTCTGGAGCCATCCTTCCTGAGCAAAAACAAAAGTGTGTGAGCCAGAGGCTAAAAAAATGTGAGCTAGCTCACACTAACTCAGCTTAGAGGGAACACTGGCTATGACAGGCCGTTCCTATCAACTGAGGGGACCCATACAGCCTCCTGTGGTTTGGGGCAAACCAGGTTTATTTTTAACTATAACCCTTCCCCTCAGATACCAGGTGTTATAAAGGGGGTAAGTATCTAGGCTTTGGGTTCACTGCTGTGAGGTAAGTTTTGGGGTGCGCAAGTAGAATATGGAGGTGACTGAGGCAGGAGCTATATATCAACCACAAAGAAGATTTATTTATTTACAGATTGGTTTCTAGGAACAGATCAGCAGCACAGGGACCAAAGAGAAACCTGGCTGAGGCACATCAATTTAAGCGAGTATAGTTTCAATTTTCTTTAATACTTCCCAGCATTGAACGATTAGCCACTAGGTTGGATCCTGACACACACACACCCAGGGTTCCACCCACACCAGCTTGCCCTTCCCCAAGGGTCAGATTCAGTGGCACCCGGTCTGCTCATTGCCGGAGGCAGGCCTGACAATGGGGTACTCTCAGGGCTATTTTTGGGCAGGAACGTACAAGAACGGAGTTGGCTCCTGAGTTGACCACGCCCAGCAGAAACTCATTAGCATAATAGGCCACACCCAATAGCAGAAATTCATTAGGATTGGTTGCATTAGGGGTGTGTGGCCTAACATGCAAAGGAGTTCCTGCTACAAAAAAGCCCTGGGTTTTGACAACAAACAAGGTAAACAGAATAAAGGTGGGTGTGGCTGGAGGACCACACTTTTCTGGTAACATAGGGGTGTGGCCTAATGTGCTAATAAGTGGTGCTGCCAGGGTGTGGCCTAATATGCTAATATGTTTTGCTGTTGGGTGTGGCCTATTATGCATGGCACAAGGTCTGCTCATTGCCAGGGACAGGCCTAACAACTGGGTACTCTATTCTGTGCCAGAGGTAGAGCCCAACCACTCTGTCTCACTATCAAGCAGAGCTACCCTTTGCTCTGCCTACTCTTTTCCTGAGCCAGACCTGAGTTCTCACGGCTCTCTCCCTGAGGCAGAACTAGGTGACCAGTCGTCCTCTTTTTAGGGGACAGGTTCTCTTCTTGGGGGGCTCTTTTTAAAATAACGGATGGAAAACGTCCTCTTTTTGGATTGGACGGTGAGGAATATTCTTAGTGGCAGTCATCACAGCTTAAATAGTGGAGGTGTTTAAAAGGAGATTTGTCCTAGCGATCACTTGTTTGAAGTAGTCAGTCGGGAAATACGCCCTCTCTTTTGCTTTTCAAAACAGGGTAACCGTAGCAGACCTGAACGAACACGGCTGCTGCTGTGTTTCCCTCCAACACTCCGTCCTCCCTTCCCAAAGGTGAATGGATGCCGGAGCAGCACTCCCATAGGCACGAGTGAGTGGCTGTTTTCCTCTTCGGGGGCGGGACAGTCTTCTGCCCATCACATTTGCCTCCCCCCCATTCGTGACCATTCTTTTGCCATGTTCTCCATCCTGCTGTGTCTCGGGTGACTACTCAGGGGCTCCACAGTATCTCCCCTGTGTACTGAAGCCTCTCCTTCTCTCAAACGGAATCCGTCCAAGTCTGCTATAAGCTGTGCCCTCCCTTGGCACTGAGAAGAAAGGGCAAGGTATGTGTGGGGAAATCAGGCTCTCTCCAGGGACAGCAGGTGAATAAACCCCTGCCCAGAAAAGTTGCTCTCACCTCCTCTGGAACCACAACAGACCTAAGACGCCACCGATTCCCATCTCTTCTTTGAAGACCTCCGTGATGGGCATGCCAGCGTAGATCAGCTCCTGGCCCCGCTCATCACAAATGCTTGTCATGAAGGAAGCCGGTTTCCGGATCAAACCAAGTTCCTAAAGGTTGCAGGAAAAACAGTCAACAACCGGTGCGGTTTGCACTGAAGGGATAATCAGGTGACTGGACTATTCCTCGTCACACTCAACAGGACTGAATGCTCCTACACCAACAAAGCATTCCCTCGAAGAATGAAGTTTCAGTCCAGAGGCACCTCTGAGACCAATAAAGTTTTATTCTGGGTATGTTTGTGTTTTATTGTGGATATAAGCCCCGGGGGTTCCATTGTCCTGAGTATTGGGATAACTTGTGACTCAGCAATCTCCCGTTCTGGTCTGTTTCTGATATTCTTATCACAACGCTCAGGATAATGGAACCCCCAGGGCTTAACAGAGATATTGGTTTCTTATCTCACTACACATGCTAACGTCTTTCAGTTCTCGCATCTGTTTGTAAACTCTTATTATGCGGTATGTTAATTTTCTGCTATTCACAGGTCTTACAAATGGCTTTAATCCAATCTTAGCTATATCTACTGCCCAATTACTTATGCATCTTGACTCTTAATTAGCCCTTCCTGGCAACACCCTCCCCATCCTCTACCTATATGTAATGGCTGGTGATGTCTGTTTTAATTATCTGAAGAAGTGTGCGTGCACACGGAAACTTACACCCAGAATAAAACACTGGACACAAACTTTGTTCTGCTGCTTCAGACCAACTTGGCTACCCTCCCCTGAAAACACTCCCTTGACACAGAAAACTAGCCTATCAAGGAAAAGCTAAACACTGTCCCCCCTGATGTGTTAGTTTTCTGTGTCAAGGAGAACGGAGGGAGAATCATGCAAATAGGAAATGGACTTCAGACAATTTAATATCTTAAAGGCAGTCTGAAGACTAGTTTCCTGTTTGCATGGTTGAATACTCCTCCATACAAAAATATTCCCTTAACACAGAAAGCTGATGCATCAGAAGCAGACGTTCTAGCCTGAAGACCTCCTTGACACTCAAGTTTTCTATGTCAAGGGAATAGTTTTGAATGGACGAACAGTCAATCAGCCAAGTAAGAATTAATGTTCATCAAATGCTCCTGCTTCATACAGCATCCATACACATGGCATTTGTTCCTGCAAGTTCCATGAACACAGCCTATTGGAGTAGCCTTTTCCACCAGCGTTTGGATTCAACCCTACGCCTTAAACGATTCGTTTTTAAAAAGATACCCTGCCAGACAACTATCCTGATCAAACGATTCGAGCCACTCTGTTAAAAACATGTTAGCAGACAGAACTTTTTTTTTAATGAGGCAGCTGCCATCTTTTAATTAGGGTTGTCAGCCTCCTTTTTTAAATGAGGCAGCTGCCATCTTTTAATTAGGGTTGCCAGCCTCCAGGCGGTGCCTGGAGATTTCTTGGGATCACAACTGATCTCCAGGCGACAGAAATCACTTCACCAGGAGAAAAAACAGCCACTTTGGAAGGCGGACTCTGTGGCATTATACCTCTGTTGAAGCCCCTCCCCTCCACAAACCCTGCCTTCCTCAGTCTCCACCTCTCCTAACGTCCAGGTATTTCCCAACCCCGAGCGGGCACCCCTACTTTCAATGGGTCAGCTTCTTTCCCCATAAGCTTCCGCAAGCTTTCCCAAGTTTTTGACTGGATGATTCCAAGAAGCCAGTTTCAACCAAACCCCCTTCACAGACCACCAGCTTGGCTCCTCAGGAACCATCCGGAAAGAGCGAACCTACCCTCGCCCACGAGTAGTCCATTGGCACAGTAGGGGGAGGCACCTCCTGAGCGGGCTCAATCACGCCCTTGGAAACAAGATCTTCATACACAGACCTAGCAAGGAGGAGAAGGAGGAATAAACGCTAGCTTCTGGGCACAAAAGAAAAGAAGAGGAGATTGGATTTATACCCCACCCTTCACTACCTAAAGGAGTCTCAGAGCAGCCTACAATCCCTTTCCCTTCCACTCCCCATAAAAGACACCCTGTGAGGTAGGTGGGGCTGAGAGAGCTCTTGAGAGAACAGCTCTGAGAGAGCTTGTGACTGACCCAAGGTCACAACAGCAGCTGCAAGTGGAGGAGTGGGAAATCAAACCCGGTTCTCCCAGATTAGAGTCCACACTCTTAACCACTACACCAAACTGGCTCCTAGAGGCTCACATTTCAGAGGAGCAGACTGTCTTTTGCCATCAGGGCATGCTTAAACTTGGTTACAGTTTTTCCAAACCATCCCCTCACTACCTTCCCAAAGGAGGATCTCCTCCTTAACAAGGCTCTAGTCTTCCTGCAGTTATGCCCAAAAGAGTGCCAAAGAGCAACTCTTGTGAAGCAGAGAACAGGGAGTCTTCCACACAGCGGAGTGGATTTTGTCTCAGTAACCCAGGGGTCCCCAGGCCTTCTCGAGCCTCTGGGCACATCTGAAATTCTGACACGAGATGGTAGGTGCGGAGACAAAATGGCTGCCACAAAAAGGTTGGGGATCCCTGCCTCATCCCTTTAGGCCAGCATCAGGGATCACTCCGCAAACTGCTACACTATACTGTTGCAGTATCAGGTCAGAGGAACTCCCTTAAATCTATGGAGACTTTCCTCCAGCTTAGGTGGTTCTTCCGTTGGGAGAAAGACTTCGAACATTGCTTTCCATAGCAATAAGACATCGGCCACCATTCCTTGTAATTTAGTTTGCTCTTACTGGTATTATTTCACGTTGGATCATGTTATCCACAGGGCGGATTGGCTATGTTAGGGGTGTGTGGCCTAACATGCAAAGGAGTTCCTGCTACCAAAAAAGCCCTGGGTTTGGACAACAAACAAGGTAAATAGAATAAGAAGCAAAAGATGGGTGTGGCTGGATGATAGAATAAGAAGCAAAAGATGGGTGTGGCTGGATGAGCACACGTCCAGTAACATGGGGGTGTGGCCTAATATGCCAATGAGCTGTGCTGTCAGGGGTCTGGCCTAATGTGCTAATGATTTTCTGCTGTTGGATGTGGCCTATTATGCTAATGAGTTCCTGCTGGGCTTTTTCTACAAAAAAAGCCCTGGTTATCCAGTTTGGTATTACTAATTTTTACTGGAGCCTTCCT